AGAGCCCTGGACTCTCCTGGCTATCCATCGAATCCACTTTGTAAAAACCTGAACCTCAGCTGACTGCAAACTCAGATGCCTGCCCGCCTGCCTGGGAAATTTGGAGCAGCCCCAGCGTTTCCCCAGGGAGGGAGATGCATGTGTCCAGGTGCCAGCTTTCCCAGAGACGGGTCTGAGAACAGGAGCCCAACTAACAGAACCCAGGGAGCTCTGTTCGCCCCACAGCCACACAACCCACCCCACCTTTCTCTGGGAGTACAAGAGGCAGTTTGTGCTACAGACGACCTCGTTCCCCGCTGGTCTAAGTGGCAAGAACACCCGGCACATCCCAGCCTCCAGGCCACCAAGCGAAGTGCAGGGGGTGGGGGTGCTGACAGAACAGTCAAGGGTAACAGGTGGGCACCCAAGGGTGTGCACCTGCAGAATCCCTGGTGGTGGGCCAGGAGTATCCCAGGAAAGGTGATCAGTGATGCAGTCACTCTCTAAGACTCAGACAGGAAAGAAAGATGAAAAGAGCCAGACATTTCCCCAAAGGAGGAAAATAGCCACCAGAAGTGACCCTAAGGAATGAAAATGTATGATCTTCCAGACAAAACTCAAAATAACCACTTCCAAACCAGTTCTGCATGGCTAAGCTGACCATACAGTCACTTACAGAGAGTGGGAGCAACCGAATGTCTACCAGCCCAGCCTGGTTAAACGAGTGGACTTTAACTGAAGAAGATACACACAGGCATCAGGGGATCTTCAAGCTTCAGTGCCAACAGTAACATACTGCATTCTATAATTCTTAGAAAGGAAAAAATGAGAGCAAAACAGACTACCAGGGAGGACAAGGAAGACTTTTCCCTTTTGCACCTTCGAAATTATGAGCTATGTGAATGGGTTACTTTTTAAAAGTACACACAATTTTGTTTTAAAAAATACTTATTTTAAAAAAATAATACAGGTGCATACCTGTCATCCCAGCACTTGGGTGACTGAGGCAGGAAGGTTGCTGCAAGTTGAGGCCTGTGTGGACTGCAAAGTCAGTTCAGGGCCAGTCTGAACTACATATAGTAAAACCCTGTCTCAAAAAGACAAACAAGGGGCTGGGGATTTAGCTCAGCAGCATAAGCGCCTCCTTGCAAGTGCGTGGTCGTCAGTTCAATCCCCAGTACTGACAAAAAAAAAAAAAAAAAAAAAGACAAACAAACCTTGAATAGCCATGGAACTCTAATTGTTTGGAAAATATAAATCAGTGTACCCATCATCTATATTTAATTATTTGACTTCTCAGTTTTTCCTGCGATTAGTCGGCACCTGAAGCTTTACCCCAGTCACATTCGAGGTGCATCTGGTTTTGTCTGCTCCACAAGACATCAGAACAAGTTTCCTGCTCAGGATAGGCTGGGCCACAACTCACTGCCAAAGGAAGTCGCGCTCATAGGGAGCAGCGAGGAGTCCCATGTGAGGCAGAGGACAAGGCCCAGGGTGCATGGGCCTGGGCTTTCCTAGGTGGCCGTGCAGTCTCGGGCCTCAGAGAGTCTGGGCTGGGCATGCCCTATGCCCACACCACATGCCCCAGTGGCCAGTCACATGCTCCTCGAGCACTCTTCTGTGCTCAGCCTGGGCTTAGTGCTTCATTTTCTTATTGAATTTCACAAAAATTGCTCACAAGAGTCAACCATTAAAAGGTTTGATCAATGATAGTATAGGAAGAATATAGTCATGTTGTGACGATTAAACTGAAAAGCTATGCAGCAGCATTAAACTTTGCCGTAATATCACACCCTACAAACAAGAGCAGTGAGGAAGGGAAGGAAGTGCCCACTGCAAAAAAGCCCATCCTCAGTCCTCCACCACGGGTCTACCTTCCCGGGGCCCCAGACACGCTGTGCTGCCCCGGCCTCGGCTGGCATCCTACTGGCACATTCAGTCTGGTGCAAAACTCAGCTCTCCCATGCTTCACTACGAGGAAATGCCTTCCCATGGAACGCCACACTGTGCAAACAAGACACGCCTGTCCGGCACGCAGACCAACCAGGGAGGAAGATCAGAGAGGCCTAGGCCGAGGGCAAGGCTGGTCACCCACTCGATGGGTCCTTGTTATCAGTGACTTCCTTATGCTCCTTAGCCAGACTCTGAGATAGAATTAAACAGAAGGACTCAAGCATGTTTCCTTATAATATCACCTTAGGGTTTTGGTTTCTCCTTTCATTCATTCATTTGTTTATTTATTTTGCATTTTGCATTTTGATATTTTAAACACAAAAACACCTGAACCCTGCCTGGCTGCAAGTCTGTAACTGCACAAATACTAGGATCCAACCATGTTATAAGAAAATAAAAAGCTAATCACTACCACAAAAAGCATTCATGGCACAATAGTAGGAAGCAAATATGCACAGGAAGTGCACTGATTCTTGGATATGCTTTTCTGGGATTTGCTTTTAAAACTGGAAATAAAAATTATACCATTTTGGTGTTTGTCATGCTGTTCTGACACACTAGGATGGCCTGGTGCCTTCTGGTGGGCCAGTAATGTTCAAGTCTATGATGTGCCAGCACTAACTACAGGCACCATGTTCCCTCTGGCCCCCCCAGCTGATGCCTTCCAGTAAAAAACAGAATCTTTTCACTAGTGTCTTCCTAATGTTCCCATTCTTTGCCAATTTGCAGTTTTCCAGATTTATTATTTTTATAGTAAAAGTAAACTTTATTTATTTATTATTTGGTAGTGGGATTGAACTCACGACCTACTAAACTTGCCAGGCAGGCACTTATGCCACTAAACTAAATCCCCAGCTAAACTTTACTTCTTTAAAAAGCCTACAAAATATACTCAAGCACATTGTTGCCATTTACTTTAAAGCAGCTCTTACCCAGATCATTCCATTTCTAGGCCACAGGAGAGAATAAATGAAAGAATACAAACATAACTCCCTCTATATAAATTAAGACAGAGAAGAAAAGGAGAGTATTCTTTGTAACAAATACTCAGATTCTTATCCAACTCAAGTCAGGTAAGTGAATTACAGCTTTCTGCCACTGACAGGGAGAGAAAGAAACTGCAGTCAGTTTCTAAAAGTGACAACACTGAGTTATGACATCATGTACACCATGCCAAATATAGAGAGGCCCGCACCAGCCGGCAATCCAAAGAAATCTTATTGTGTATCTTGAGATGCATCACCACACAGATCTTTTGCTCCAAGAAATGCATCTGAACAGCTTTGAAAACCCAGCAGCAGAGAAGATGGACAGAGGAGCAGAGAGGATTGTTCTGCCAGCCACAGAGGCTGCAGGGTGCTATGCAGGATGGTAGCCACCACACTCAGGACCCCAGGGAGAACCCTGGTAGAACCCAGCAGGGTTCTACTCCATCACACATTTAATATCATTAAAACAGAAAAGTGAACACATGCACACAAGACACCAGTCTAAACGTTTGGTTATTATTAGACGTAACCAAAAGAGACCCCACAGGGGCCCCTCAACCACCCAGAACAAGCTGTATGTGGGTTCATCCCCAGCTTTGTCTTCAATCTTGAAGAGCACTGTGTGAAAATTAAACAGGAAAGAGTGTCCAATTTCAATGTCAACCTTATGGGGAAATTTAATCTGTTCTCATCTTGTCTAGTTTGCAACCAGAATCATGGAGAGAACTGAGTCTGTGAACCAAGGTACTACTGTATTGTACCAAGCCCGCAGGTGCCAACTGCCAAGTGCATCTGCTGCTGCAAGAGCCTTTTCTTTTGTGAAGTGTTGCAGAGGAAAGAAGAACAGAGGAGGGAAGACTACAAATGAAAAAACACCATGCGGGCAATGTGGAGACGTGTTCCAAGTGGTCAGGGTGAAAAGCACTGGCAATGGCAGCAAATAAGCAAATCAAAGCACCTGTGTGGTGGCCCTGCACCTCCCTATGCCAGCCAAGAACTGTCCACAGCCAGCGACACAAATGCCAAGAAGAAAACCCCACGGACCCCAGAGCATCACAAGACAAGCTTAAGAGATTAGCCCAGTACACCAGCAGAAGTATTTCTGAAAGAAAGTATGGTTGAGAGGCAACAACAGGACAGGTCTCTGCATTGCCATCACTCAGACAGAGAGAGGCACATCAGGCCCCTGCAGTGCGCTCACGCAGCAGAGACTACAGCAAACCATGCTGGCAGGATCCAGACAAGGACTCCATTTTAACTTAGAGACGTCATTAATGACTCAACTACACAACTACCAAGAATTTCTAAGCATCTAAATGACAAAAAGCAGCATTCTGATATGTGGCATTACACACTCAGACTAGATGAGGAGTGAATCATCCCACTTACATTTCCTCACACAATGGGAACGTAAGAACTACTGGACTGGAGAAGCCATGCTGGGTTTGGAAGAAACACACCAAGAAGCCAGTTTGTTCTTCAGTAAGCTGTGCAAACCATGCAGGGCCCAGGAAGAGGGAAGCCAGATCATCGTCCTGTGAGCCGACCAGCACATGGGCTAAGAATCACGAACTACCCCACCCCCAGCCCCACAACCAGCTAGTTCAGAGGACAGGCTGAGTCTACAGCAACTGAGGTATAAAAACAAAGGCTTGTATTGTTTGGTTGACTTTGCAGATGGAAGGCCCATAGTCTGAGCATCTACCAGGCAGATAACGGTATGCAGTATGGCAAATATGGGGGATTTTCTTCTGTTCTGTTTTTGAAATCCAATGTTGCTCTCACTGCCTTCTTTTGTTCCAGTTTATTGTTTTGTTTTATTCAATGTTCTGTTTTGATTGATTTTATTCTGTTTTGTTTTATCTGATTTTACTATGTCTGATAAAATAGACAACTATCATGAAGATAACAAGATATATTACAGTAGCCATTGTTGATTTTCTAGTATCCTGCTTCAAAAGCTGCGTACCACTTTTACTGCCTTTTTTTGACTGGCTTTACTGTTTTGTTTCACTGGGTTTTATTCTTTTTAAAATTAACAAACACACAAACAAATAAACAAACAACCACAAAACTTACTGGACTCTACTGCCATTTGCAGTAAACTGTCGATGACACCGGAGAGGAGGCCCTTGCTGGATATTCGCAGGTGCCCTAGAATCACGGGAACTGCTTGATACTCCAGAAACAAGGCTTTCCCTTCATCTGTCTTCAAGTCTAAGCAAAGGGAGTCAAACGCCTGGGCCAGGTAATCAGCTGCAAAACAGGGGGAAGCCATCTGTGTGTCAGTGATTGGTCTGGTATCAGAAACAGGTCAGGGACATGGTCACCAAATCAGAATCAAGGAGAGCAGAGATTGACAGCAGGAGGTGGTCAGCTAAGCCCAGACCACTCTCCTAACTTGTTGGAACCCAGATGAAGAAGGGGAGAGGTGTCACACTATGATGGGGTAAATCCCATGTGGAATTTCTGCATTTTAGCACTAAAATTACTAAGTTTGTTTATTCTACCAACAAAGAAAATGATTACTCTTAAATACTATGAGTAGTATTTTACCTATTTGATAACTACATGCTTCTAAATATTTAAACAGTATTAGTATTTTATCTTCAACAGCTTCTAAGACTGCATTTTTTGTTATTACTGCTTTTTAGATTATCTATTTCAAAACATAACTTTACACAAATTTACTAAGTGGCTGTAAGCAAGGATTTGTGTCACACTAAAGAGGAAACATCAGGCCACTCCGAGATGAGTGCGAGGTGGGGCACACTCTGTGCTCTGCCTTCTGTGCCATGTCTGTCACTAAGGGTGGAGCAAGGCTTTGGCAAGGACAGCGCCATGACAGCACCTGCCGGCTAAGGGCCTGGATTCTCACGATGCTCCATAGGTGACAAGGGGCTCAGTCAGGACCTAAACGCTAATGTGAGCAGATCCCTGTCCCCACACCATCACCAGTGCCACCCTATCATTAATGTCATTATCACTATTGCAGGGCAGCAAGAGCCTGTGCTCTGAAATGTAAAGCCTGCTTCTGATCCACATCCAGGGATAAAACTCTGTTCCTGCCAAGCGCGGTCCCCAGAAAAGGTCTTGGAGCTCCTAGAGGTGCGTTGGGTCCCTCTGGCCTGGCCCACAGCTGTGCTGTGACACAAGTGTGAAGGAAATGGCAATGATGAGACACTGGCAGCAACTGGTGGCTTAGAGTTAGGGTTAGGGTCAGAATGGAGGGATTCTGAGAAAGACCTGCACGTACGTCACTCCATTTTCATGTTTGGTAGAACTTAGTTCAAGGAACATTAATGTTACCATACTTAATTCTGTAATTAAAACATAAACATTGCAAATGTATCTAAATTAAGCAAGGTTGCTAGAGTCTGTTCAGACTTGGCTTACTGAGAAATACATCTTTGTTATTTAAGCCAGGCGTAGCTTAATCCCAGAACTCTGGGAGGCTGAGCAGAAAAGATGCAGGTTTGAGTAAACCTTTGTGAGACCCTGTCTCAAAAAAGGCTGGAGACGTGGTCCACTGTGAAGGCTTGGGTTTCAATCCTCAGTATGGCTTTCATTTGTAAACTCACTCATTCATTCATTTATCAGCAACAACATAGGCAAAAAACCAGATGAATCCTGAACTTTTTACAGAAACAAAAGTTTTATCATAGCGCCACCTAATGCATTGAATACAAACTACTTCTTAATATATATCTGGCAAACTTTATTAGGATGAATACTTTTATTTTTAAATTTGCAAGTTTACAATGAAGTTTTTAAATAGTTTTTGGCTATTTTTGAAAAAGTGACCTTATCTTTCAGAGATAAATCAGATATGTCTTCATTTTAATTTTTCTAATAATGAAATTTTTAAAAAATAAGACCAATTTGACATCCAAAACAATATTTTAAACATTATTAACTATAACCAAAACTTACTTTTCATAAATATGCTATTTTACTGGATCTTTTAAAAAAGTTCTGACATTTAAATATATTATTTTTATTCTTTACTAAAAGTTTAATCTATTGATCAGTACAAAACAGAGCCTTCCATTACCTCATCTACATGGTAGGATTGAGGGATGATCAGATTCTCTCTGCCCCAGCAGTGTGGGCTCGCCCAAGCTGGCTGGGAAGTGCAGCACGACCAACCTGTGGTCAGTGAGCTCTGTGGTCGGGTGCCTGTGGTCAAGGAGCACGGTGCCTACTCAGCCGGGCTGTATGCCCATGGAAGACAGGCCAGCCATGAACACAGAGCCTGGCTAACAGCTCTCCAAAGAATTTTAAGGTAGTAAATAAAATGCTTATTCTAAGACTGTTAATTGTTTGGTGGCTTATCATACAGCAATAGACAGCTACTACAGACCTTCATTAACAGATCTTAATTCCAGACCTAACTCTCAAGTTACACTATGAACCATAACGCCATCTGCTAGTGGCACAGCTAGCTTATTAAGACTTACTATATGCCAGATTTCTGCTAAAATGTTATATGAATTCTTTCATTTAATCCTCAGAAAACAAAATTGGGATAGAAACAACAAAGTGCTCTGCCCAGAGCCACAGGGCTTATGGTAAAGCTGAGCAAAATGCTAGTTTTTGACTAGAGAGTCGAAGTGCTTAACTATTTCACTGTATTGGCTCTTACCAAATCAAAGTGTTCTGATGTCTGAGAACATTTCTCTAGGCTGAAGCCCAAATACATATTTCACAAGCACATAAATCTTTGTAAGTTGAGGGCCAAGTGCCAAGTCGGGCAGGGCAGAATTAGCTCTAATCACACATGTATAAAGAGCACAACCTATTTAATTATCCATAAAAGAAACCTATCCCTACACCAAGTAACTTCATCAGCTATGATCCCTAGGGCTTCCTCCCACAATGGCCTCACAATTAAACTCACCGGTCAATGTGTGTGCGCAGGTCTGCCCCTCGACAGCGCTGATGGCACACGCACCATGCCAGGCTCTCTGTACCTGCCCCTGTGACAACGACTTCTGCTCAGTGGGGCACAGGTGCTGGGCCTCCTCTGCCTCGGCCAGCTCTTTGCCCTCATTATAAACACCATGATAATGCTGTGACTGTTTCCTTTTTGAGTTACTTCCTTGCAATAAATTCCATTACAGGCATTTTGGCAGTGGCCATGAACAGAACACACCACAGAAAGGAACGTGACAGCTGTATCCTCAAGCCAGTCACACACTCAGGGTGAACAACTACACCAACAACATGCAGCTGCAGCTGGTGTGAACTGTGCATTTATGCACTGAGGTGGAAGGTAAAATAAAGGTGTATATTTCCAAATACAAAATTTTAAGAGTCTGGTTTTTCAATTTCTATTTCATGTCCTGAATTTAAAATTATATTTTAAAATGTAAGTACTTCTCAGAAATAACAACAACAAAAAACCTTACCAAAGCTTTTTAGAAGTTGTCTATCTTCTCATGGAAACTTTTCTCAAAAGGGTACAGAGCCAGGCATGATGGTACATACCTATAAACCCAGCACTTGGGAGGCAAAGGCAGGAGGATAGCCATAAGTTCAAAGCTGTTCCTGGCTGCACAGAGTACAAGGTCAGCCTGGACTGTATAACAAGACTCTATCTCAAAAACACAAAAACAAAACAAAAGGCTACAGAATAGAGAAATGTTTAAACTGGTTTTGTAAAGAGGCATCTTTGGGAACTGGGCATGGTGGTACACAGCTGCAGTTCTAACACTCTAGGAAACTGAGACAGGAGGATCACAAATTCCAGTTAAGCTGGACAACTTAGTAAGACTCTGTCTTAAAAAATAAAAAAAGAGCCGGGCATGGTGGTACATACCTGTAATCCCAGCACTTGAGAAACTGAGGCAGGAAGATCATTGTGCATTCAAGACCAGCCTGGGCTACAAAATGAGTTCAAGGCCAGCCTAAACTACATAATGAGACCCTGTCTCAAAAAAAATAAAATTTTCAAAAATTAAAAAAGGAGCCAGGTGCAGTGGTATACACCTGTAATTCCAGCACTTAGGAGGCTGAACCATACAGTTAAACCCTGTCTCCAAAAAAAAAAAAAAAAAAAAAAAGACTGGACATATGGCTCTGGTTCAACTTCCCTTAATACCAGATACACACACACACACCCCTACAATTCCAACATTGCTTCCTTTCTGAGTTATCTTTGGCTGAAAGGAATCTTTGGCTGAAAAACAATGTAAATTTTTAAACATTAAAATACCAGGAATTGAACAACAACAACAAAAAAGATAGTGAGAAAGTGAGTAGGATGAGCAATAGATACCATGTAGTGGAGACTATTACCAATGACCACACGGTCTAGGGATTGACCCCAGACAGGTCTGCCCCTGGGACCCAGCCACAATCAGTGCCTTCAAGCATCGATGCGGCTGAGATTAGCCCTCGGTAATGGAGTCTGCAGCACTTCATAAGTTACAGACAAAGCAGGGAATTCAGGAAGCACAGCAGGAATTATTTAACCAAATAAAATTTAATCTGGCAAACCCAACCACAAATACGATGCATTGCAAAAATCTGTATCAAATATAAGAGACAGAGGATTTATATTATTTTTTAAAAATAACAAAAAAGAAGTCAACCAATACAAAAGAGACTGAACAGAAAATGAACAAAAAAATGCAAATGATACACTAAAAAATATGAGAATATAGTCAAGCTTGATAGATGAACAGGATGTGAATAAGTCATATAAAAGTGTTTCTCCTGGTACCGATAAAAAGGAAAAAGACAAAAAATAAATAAATAAATAAATAAATAAATAAATAAAAATAAAAGTGTTTCTCCTCAGGGAAAATAAAACAATAACATTGAGATCTGGAATGACTGTTTTATGAAACTGCATGACTGATACAGCTGCAAAAATACAACAGCTACAATCTTTTTGAGAAAGAATTTCTGTGAGGCAGAAGTATGTGTGTGTACAATGCTTTTTAGCTTTAGCTAAGTCTAACCACATGAACAACTCATACATTTAAAGTTCACGCTGGAGAGTTCTCACATCTGTGAACCTGTACCCATAACCATACCTAAAACTTTCGCACCTGTGAGCTCTCCTTCCAATCCCACCCCGCCTCTGGTGTGTTCTGGCATTATGGGCTACATGCATTTCCTGCCATTTTAGGCTATTTTGCTTTCTGCCATTTAGAGGTTATCTAGCACTTTCTAGAATTTCATGTAAATGCAGCCATAGTCAAAGGGCAGTGCTTATGCAGCACTGTCACCTGACCTCCACACTGATA